AATTTATTCTTTGCCGTTGTTTGGTTGGCTTTCTGCCACCAGGTAACTGCATCATACGTGATAATAGGTCTGATGGCCGTCACGTATAGCCAGTACATATTTTTGGGGTTTAATCCCCAGTTTCTACCACAAATTCGGCGGCATGCCCATAGAGCATAGCAAGCCTTTTTTGATGTTTTTTCCAGATGAGAGGTCCAGCTAAGTTTTTTGTCCAGGTTTAATCCCAGATACTTAACTTCCTCCGCAAACGGAATTGTCTCACCAAGAAGAATGGGCGGTTTCAGTTTGTCTGTTTTCCTTCTTCTGGTGAATGGTATGATCACGGTTTTCTGTGGGTTTACACTTAATTGTTCCAGTGTGCACCAGCCGTGAATTGCATCTAGGATTTCCTGTATTTTTGAGGAGATGTCCTCCTCTTTGTGTCCTTTTACTAGGATCACCAGGTCGTCCGCATATGCCTGTGCTTCAACCTCGTATGCATCGATGATTGCCATCAGGTCGTCCGCTAACAGGGTCCACAGAAGAGGAGAGAGAACTCCTCCTTGCGGGCATCCCCTGCCCGGAACAAACCTAACGGACTCACCACTGAGCGAGGTCGTTGCTACTCGATTTTTGAGCATTTGCTCAATCCATTCAGTTATGGTAGCTTCGACTCCTCGTGCTTTCACAGCGCCTAGGAGCGATTGAGGGGTGACATTGTTGAATGCTCCCTCAATATCTAGGAATATCCCTACCGCAATTTCTTTGCGATCAAAGGTACTCTTAATTTCCCCTACCAAATTGTTGAGGGCCAGTTCTGTTGATTTTCCCTGTTGATAAGCATATTGTCGGACATTCAGGGGATTAGACGTAAGAATCCTCCCCCTAATGTGTCCATCCAATATCTTCTCCAGAGTCTTCAGCAGAAATGATGTAAGGCTTATTGGTCGATATGAGCCAGGTTGTAGGTTTTGTTTCCCCACTTTCGGTATGTATACCACCTTTGCTCTCGTCCAGTCAGCTGGCAGGTGTGACCATGCCAGACTTGCCCTAAAAATTCTTAATAAGCGAGGGACGATAATGTTCTCAGCCTTCTGCAATAAGGCCGGAAACACTCCGTCCTCTCCTGGGGATTTGAATGGGTCGAAACTTTCTATCGCCCCTTTAGTCTCCCTATAGGTGATTACTTTCTTCGCTATCTCCCAATCCTCTTTTTTGGGCCAGAGATAGTCTTAACCCTAGAAGTTATATCGCCTACGGCTACTTTAATAATTATTGAACATGATAGAGATCAACTTCTATACTAAACAGGTGTGTTGATGAAATCCAAAAGCAGTAACGGCGCGTTTTAATGCTAAAATTGCTTTAATAATTAATGTCTTCTTCAAAAGCAAATATATTCAATTAAATTAAAGTAATTCAAATGAATCGCGATCAACTATCGCGAAAATCTGAATCTTGATATATTTTGTTAAACCATTTAATTAAACCAATGTAAAAAGTGTTTCTTTTTTATAAACTTTCGCTTAAATAACAATATTTTGTTTTTCTTCGTATAACAGACAGGCGAGCACTAATTTTTAATTCAAAAAGAGGCTAAAAAGCCCAATAATTTGTCTACGCATTGCTTATCAAATCATCAAAATCGCACCACTAGAACAAAATTAATATACATGGAAATTTATCCGGTTTTTCTAGATAAAATGATATAATTTTTTTCTGGCAAATATGAAAAACTATAAAATATATATATTTTTTATATTATTTTAAACAATATGTTACTCAGTCATCATCTCAGAATTAGTTCGGCTAATTTTCAGAGTCAGTCTGTCTCAGAGTCGTTCGGCTAATTTTGGCAAATTGTCATTCGTATTACTTTCGTTCTTCGTTCTCTTCATTACCAAGCCAAATCTGACATTTTTTCGATTATATTATTAATATTAGAGTTTTTAGGTAGATTGCCACTTCATTATTTACTCTAAATGATGTGAATTTATTTTAACTGAAGCCCCATACTCACTGGTTGGGTTGTTCGCGTTTGGAAATTCGTCCATCGTGTTCGTGAGATATTTATTTAAATATTTTGCCCAAAAACCGACATTCCGCATTCACAACTGGCTTTATAAACGGCATCAGCAAAATGAGTATGGGGCTTAATTAATCTACTTGTAATAAAAGTACTGCATTCTGAAGCTGTCGCATGTGAGACAACTAATATTCTCAATGAGATTTTATCTTCTCGAAATATGCAGTTCTTTTTATCGAATAATCTAGCTGGGTACATATAATAAACCATGCCTGATTGGCATTTAACTATTTTAAATGACTTTCAGATTTTGCTATCGATACAAGTATAAAAGATCTAATTTGAATGCGTGTGTAAGATGGAATTATAGATTTTTATAATAAAAAAATTAGAGTTTGCAAAATATGCTTTAATTAACTAAGCAGTTAATGAAGCATTTATATTTGACATACCAGCTAATAACAAGCGGTTTCGTACACTTAGTTTTTTTATTTTTGTTGTTTACTCTTTTAATAATAACTAGCTGATCCATCTAACTTCGTACCGACTTATTAGACGGTTTTTTTCACTTCACTATTGTGAAGTGATAGTTTTTTTGTCGAACTGTATATGACTGATTCTGGACTCTGGAATGATTGAGACTTATCGATTTGACAAGAATTGTTCTAATTTGTTCTCTATATTTTGTTTACAATTTGAATTCAAGTATTTTCTATTTATTTCAATAACTTTTTAGATTGGAGTGTGCAATTTTTCTAATATTTTCCACTGAATTACTATTCTCTCAGTATGTCACTGATTTACAGTAGACATCAATTATTATTACAAACAAGTTATAAACGTGCGTCATGTAAGCTGACGTTAGCTGTCAATTGCGGAAGATGGTAAGGTTCCACACCTAATTTAATTAAAAATTTATTTTTTCCAAATTTTAATTGTTATTTTGCTATTCGGGGCGGAGACGAATCCATCAAATCAAAGATAATTAAAATCGGTCCAGCCATTCTGGAGTTAAACATAGTGTAACTAACCAAACTTTGCTTTATATTTTATTTATTCATTAATATTTTCAATTAAATATAATTTTAGTTACAGTATGTTCCCGGATTGGGAGAGAGGAAAAACTTTTTTATTATTGGCATTTTGAGAAACATGCATTCTTTATAAAAAAAGTTGCTTGTTCTAAAATGGTTAATCACGTTTATATTGTTCAAAATTTCCATACCGTTTTAGAGAAAATTAAATAAAACATGAAAATATAGTTGAACTTGAAATGAAGTCCTAAAAATCAAAAGGCCGTTTCTATGGTAATGTAATTTCGATTTCATTCTTTGATAGATGGGCAATTATTAATAATTTTCAATAACCATTATTAATTTTGATTAACGTCATATTTTTTGCTGTTGTTAAAGCATCACATTTTCCGATAACTATATCACCCTTTCCGTAGCACTGAACTAAATACATTTTTTCCCTCTTTAACACTTTAAAATAGTAAAAAATATGACGTATATTAAAATTCTAACAATAATAATCTATCAAAGAATGAAATTGAAATTATATTACCATAGAAATGCCTTTTGATTTTTAGGATTTTTTTTTAGGAAATTTGGAAAAGTATAAACATGGTTCGCCATTTTACAACAAGCAAAAATTTTTATGAGGTATGCATTTTTCTCTTATAAAGACAATCCGGGGACATACTGTATGTATATGATTTTTCAATTAAATATTTTATGTTTATAAAATTTATATGCCAATAATATCGTATTATATTATGTTTATAATATTTTATATTATTATTTAACTGAAAATTTTTAATAAAATTTCGAAGAAAAGAAAATCTTGAATTTTTCTTTCATGAAAAAATCTAAACGAGCAGGTATTCTTAGTCTAAAAACAAATTTAAAATAATAAAACTATGTCATAATAATAAATTTCTCGACTATAATACTAAAAATTATGTTAAATTACTAAATGTGACTATTGAAGCATTCTTATTATAGCTTCATTACCTTGCTTTAAAATTTAATTCAAAAGTTGGAGAAAAACATCAGCTAATTTAAACATGTGATCTGTATATCTGCTCTATATTTTTTTATCGTTATTTAATTTTTTAATTATGATATACGAAAAATGGCCTGCTGCATCTCATTTTTGGCCTTTCGTAAGTATTGCACTGGTCGCTCTTGGTTGTGGTCTTGCAAATCTAACACTAGTCTTGATCTTGCTATTTGTGCAAGTCCAAAACCAAGACCAGTGTCGCTTATCATTAGCTGTCATAACAAGAGCAATTAATGGTTCACAAATCATACTTTAAAACAAATCTCTGTTGAAAATTTGAACTGATAACATATCGTGGGCGTACAAGGAAAACCATATAAGTCCACTTTTTCGTAAAATCGTTTTTTCACATTACTAAGTCCATTTAGGTCCCTATAACCTCTCATATTAAATATCCTTTAAGTCCAATACACTTCAAATATACGAGATATTATTAGCTTCAAAATAACTAAGTCCACAGACGTTAAATTTCGCTCAGAAAAATCTATTAAGTGCACTTAATGGATTTATGATTTTTTTTAACAGCCTGCAAAAGAAAGCGATTGTAATTCCGATAATGAGCCTTTGGCTCGTTATTTGATTCCAAAAAGTAAAGGAGCCAATCAAGAAAAACCAACTAACTCCAGTAAAGGTTTTTTTTTCAGATAAATCAGAAGTCAGATTAATATATAAAAATGTCAATAAACAATTTTTTCTTAAAACTCCTGTATTTTAATTTAGCCTAAATTAGCCCTAAATAACCCCAATGTCAAACGATTTCTTTTAGTGCAGTCAAAAAATAAAATTGGATTTTACATATCACTTCAAACATTAAAATCACTTTTTCTCACCTTTTTAGTTTTTGGACTTACATGGTTTTTCATGTAAGCCCACGATATATTAACCCTATTTTATACCGCAATTTTCACTTGCAATAACCAACTTAGCTTACCTTGGTCTAAAAACTTTTTTGGTGGTCCTGTTGCTTCTCGAATCGGAAACAGTCTTGTTTTGAGCTGAAACCGTAGCAGCTAGTTGAGCGGCACTAGTGCGTGGCAACCGAGACGACACACCCAAAACACTAATAACACTTAACGAGAGTAATGTTAAAAGGTACCAGCGGTACCCCATGATGAACCCGTTAACACTATATCACAACGAAACTTAGTCCAATGTCTTGAAAATAACAGTCTTGATATTTTTCGGAAAAAAAATCAGTTCAATACACACAAGTTGTTTTTAAAATTTTTGTATTTCACCAAAATAAAATATGTATTTTATTCGAATTCTAGTATAAATAATCTATAAAAATATTCGTCGGATGAATGAAAATGCTGGTGATAATTCTGTGCGATGTTGATATATGCGATACGGCACCTGTCTCTTATTCTTTTGCTTCTCCGATCTCAATGACAGTCAGTATGGTACTAAATGGTCGCCGCCATGGTTCTTGAGCACCCAGACGGTGGCTGGTAGTTGAGCCGAGCAGAACCGTAATCGAACGTCTATAGAAAACGAGAGTTCGCTAATGATTTTTGATGAATATTCAACAGGAGAATATATTTTATTTATATCGATACTCAACTTTATTAAATTAATAGTTCAGAAATTTAATTCAAAACGTTTTATTTATTGGTGTTTGTCACGCAACTGTATGATATTCTTTTTAAGCATATTCGTTTTAAAACATGAAATATTTGATTTTTTATCAATTACATATCAATTGATATTGAACCCGTTAACACCCAATTTTAAACCATGATTTCAATAGATACCGTTCTTGATAGAACGGTATCAATTGAAATCATGGTTTGGAATAAATATAATTTATTTTCATCCAGGCTTTAATACATTTTCTGATTTATTTCTTCATATAAATTTATTTTCAGTGAATGTGAAAAGAAAATTTAAAACCAGAATCAAGATTAAAATGAGAGATTAATATATTTAATTTTTATACCTAGTTCTTATATTTCTTAAGTATTCCGTATTCCGATTCTTTAATTATTGCAATATTATCTTGGATAATAGATATACATACTATACAGACTTCACTACTAAGAAAAACAATTTTTGATCACTCTTGATCACTCGTGGTTTCCATAATCATATATTTATAACCAGTTGATGATGGTTAAAAGTATCTATTTTCTTCTTTTGATTTTATTAAAAGTATTAAATTTTCTTCTTCTTGTTCTTTTGCTGTAATATCAAATATTTAAGTAAAATACACTTTCAATATTTAAGTAAAATTTATTTACACATTTGCGGCGTTTTAAATTTTAATTATTAAATTTAATTTTATTATCATTTAATTATTAATTTTATTTTTTTATAATATATTTTGAAAAAAGAAAACAACAGCAGCAAAAACGTATGTTCCAATTTGTTCTAAATATATATGTCCAGATTTTGTAGTAATGAACGATAATTAATACATCAGTTTAATCAATAACTGAATATTCTCAATAGAAACAAAGCCTTCAAAATTAATCTAAATAAATAAATCAAAGTTGGTTTAGTTGCATCATTTATAACTAAAGAACTAGCAGAATACCTATTAAAATATCAGAAAATTTAATAATTATGGCGAAAATTTATTTTTAAATATATTAGGAACGAAACTCCACCATCTTTCGCAATTGACAGCTCACGTCACGCATGCTTACATCTTATTTGTAATAATTGATGACCACTGCAAATGAGTGACATACTAGACATTATAGAATAGTATTCAGAGAAAAATAGTGACAAAATAGCATATTCAAACCTAGAAAGATATTTAAATACATAGAAAATACTTGGGGGAAATGAAATGTAAACAAAAATATTGAAAACAAACGACGGCAACAGCAAAATCGACTTTGGTCTCTTCATTTTTCTTCATTGTTAGGTGGTACAAAGTTAGCCTAGTCAGCTAGTTAAATAATAAAAAAAATATTATTGTTATGAATCTATAGAGGCAAATAATATCTCTGGCATTACCCTTAATATAAGTTTTTCCAACACTATTTATATGTAATTATAAGATATATTATATTTCCCTTTTCCTCGAAAATCCTAGGAAATATGTACACTAACATAATTCTAATTCATAAGACGGACAGGAAAGAAGACATCAGAAGCTATAGAATAATAAGCCTACTACCAGGAGAAACTATCAGCTGAACAAAGAATATGAATTTCTACTAGCCATAACCTTTATAGACTTTAAGAAGGCTTTCGACTCGATATATCCTAAGGCAATAATAGAAGCCCTAGCGAAACAAGGTATTAACATGTCTTATACAGAAACTTTCGCCAATATATACGAAGTAGCCAAAGCAACAGTAATGATATATAAAACAACCCCAGAGTTCCCAACTGACAAAGAAGTATAACAGGGAGACGCGATATCCCCAAAGCTGTTTACAGCAACACTAGAAGATCTCTTCCGTCAACTGGACAGGACCTACAAAGAATTAAAAATAGATGAAACATATCTCAACCATCTAAGATTAGCTGATGACATAGTCTTAATTGCCAATGGTCCTGAAGAACTAATTTGAACTTTGTCCAACCACAAATTAACAAACTAAATAAAGCTAGCAATAAAGTAGGACTCAAAATGAATTTAATAAAAACTAAAGTAATGCACAACGAACTAGTATCTAGTAACAAGTAGAAACTTTCTAGTACTAAAAACTTCCTAGTACAAGATATATAAAAATTCATTTTCAGATTGAACTATAGTTAATAAACATATTTAAAAATGTTATTTAAACTTGAATTTTATTTCTGTTTTTACTTCTTTGTATCAAATTGATTAGTAATTGTTTTATCTTACTTATCAAAATGTTTAAGAAATATGTTAGCTCAGCTAGTCCATTTTTTAAGTTTCGCGAAAATCTAAAGCCGGACCTGATTTTGTTCCATACTTTCACTTATGAGTACCAATATTGTAAGGACTTGGCTTTATTTTAGCAGGTGGCCGTGCGGCATAAAAGTACTATCAGCTGTGATAGACGACGTTGCCATGTCGTTCAGAAAATCTCGAATATCTCATGGTTTTAACAGTTGTAAACATTTCTTTCTCTATAAAATTAATATTAAAGCATCAAATAAGAAACAGAATACACTTAGACAGAAGTCATTCATATACATATGGAAATTAATTAATAATATAATTAGTATAATGATATTATCATTTTAAACAGCCATAACAGCATTGTTTAATTATATTTTACCAATTATCTCAATTAAAATAATGGGACTGTAATAAAAAATAATAATTGAATCATGATCATTCTTTCAACGACCATGCCAAAACATATTAAGTCGTGATTAACAAGTTGATGAGATTCACTGATTCATCTGATTCATTTCTCCTTTCAGTGCCGACTGAATAATAGCCTGCCTACTTCTGGGCACGATTTACCAGAGAATTTAAATGGATTTGTTTTTTTTAAATAGATGTAGATACATCTAGTACGTTCTTTCCGTAATGCAGTTTTGTTATATCACAATAATTGTGTTAAATTAGGTTATCGATTACTATTCTTATTGAATTCTATTGTTGGTTAGAAAGAAATTTGATTAATATTTTTTAATCGAATACGATTCAGTTAGTAAAATACTAAAATAAGCGATGTAATTAATATATGAGTATTTAATTGATTTACGTTCGTTTAAATATATTTTTCTTAATAATTGAAACATCCAAATTATAAAAAAAATATAATCGACAAAAAACGGCGTTTGATGTGCCAGACTCAAAATTATCATCGATCGGCATGTCTAAGGTAAGTCGATCGCATTTATTGCCGGTAAAATATATATTTTATAAACATACTGTAATGGTAAGTAATAGTAAGTCTATTAAAAATAACTTAAGTATAATATAATTTTTCTTGTATCTGAGTGCAAGAAAAAGGTAACGGATAAATTTTTGGCCAAATTTAAAGTGTTATTATTTCGTTATTTTAGCCCTATTTTCTTGATATTTTTTTATTTATCAACTTTAATTCGTAAACTCAACTTTAGTACTTGGCATATTATACAGTGCTAACCGAGGGGTTGTTTTTATCTTAATTTTAAAACACCCTGTGCAATAATTGCGTGTATAAATTTTTCTAAAGTGGTCAGAACCATGTCTTCTGAGAATTTTATTTTTTGGACGTTGTCAATACATGCATTGGTTAATTTTTAAGAGCGAAATGAACTTCCCACCAACAATTTGCAATTTTTTCAATTATTATTTCTTTTTGAAGTTATATCTCATTATCAGAAGACGGCATTGGTGATTATTGCGAACTATATACTACTATGATCTGCCCATCATGTTCGACGTTTGGGAAATGCTTGGCAGGAGAGTTAGAAGTCGCGAAGCGGTGCCAGCTTCATTAAACGAACTTCGTTTGGTCCTTAAAGAAGAATGGGAAAACAACGCAATATGATATATGCAGCCTCAATGACAGTATGAACGGACGTGTACTGGCAGCTATAGCAGCCAATGGAGGCAATACAAAATATTAGAGTATGTTTTACAATTTTTTTCTGTTTGTATACTTGATCTTTACAGATGTTTTCTTCAATATCGTTAGTTCTGTTATCGTTTATTAAAACCCAGACTGTATTCCTAGTTTTTATTTTTTTTTTAAATTTAGTATAGTTACCAATGCAGCGTAATATATCGTAACATATCACCACAACCATCTCGCCATATGAAAAAATACATCAAAAAGTAATGATTATTGAAAAAATTGCAAAATGCTTGTGGCAAGTTCATATTACTCTTAAAAATTAACCAAAGCATGTATTGACATGAATCAAAAAACAAAATGCCCAGGAGTCATGATTCTGACCGTAAAATTATATTTTAGAAGAATTTACGTATGAAATTATTACACAGTGTTTTAAAGTTATGGTAACAAAAAAACACTCCTCGATTAACCGTGTATAATAAGCCAAATACTAAAGTTTATACAAAAATGAGTTACGAATTAAAGTTGATATAATTATATACAGCTTGCTAAAAAAAATCATGAAAATAGGGCTAGAAATAACAAAAATATAACACTTTAAATTTGACCAATTGCGTTGGTTGGAGTGTATGAAGAACGGATCATCGTATACCTAAAAATTATGACAATATTTTGAAAAAAAAATGTCAGACTGGTATAATTAAAGAGTTTGAAAATACAACCAAATACCAAACTTTTGGTATAATTTTAATGTATAGCCTGTCCAACGAGAGAATCCATGACAGTGACAGTTGCAGAAATGCGAAAAATCATCATGTCTGCCATTATAATTTGGATGTTGTGTGTCGAAATCATTCTTAACTTTTTGGAATAAAAATGAGATAAGACATAGAATAAACATTAGATGATAGAAAACCATTTCAGCTTCAGATATAGTTTAAC